AAGTGAGGGAGTTAACATTACAGTCCGCCTGTCACCAGATGGTAATCCTGTTCCTCTTAGTGATGTTGAAGCTATTAATACTGATAATGTTAAGTCAATAAAAGTGTTTGTATATGATGATACTCAAAAGGATTATGTACCAATAGAAGAAGTAACTGGCTCTGTAAGTTGTTTTGTTTTATGAATATTATTGTTTTTTATATTGTTGTTGTTGTTATGTTTTTATCTTGTTGGTGATGAGTTATTAATTCTCTGAACTGTGTTTTAGACATTAACAAAGAAAGTATTACCTGATGGAGTTGATACATCCAAAATCAAAATTCTTGTTATACCTGATAATCCAGACAATCCAGTTGAAATTAAATTGAAAATCCATGCCTGTTTTGAAGGTAATATTTTGTGAATATTTTTACTGAAATGATCGATTCATATTGACTTAGTTTCAATTTACTGAAGAAAGTTTTATTTATGTCCACTTGAAGATTTACTTCAAAATATTGATTTGATCACATTTAAATGCAAATATATGAATATCTTGTTCCAAGATGATAATGCATGAATTCATGTTTTACTGGTCACCCATTTTTCAGTTCTGCCATTTCATATTCTTTATCTATTGATAGAAACTGTTGGCACAACACAAGGACCATCTGAAACATCAGCAACAGAAGGACAACCAGGAACATCACCATTATTACCTACAACACCTGGAACATCAGGTAAATTATTTTCATAATAAATATAAATTTGATATGTACACTACACTTAGAACATATAGTTCAATATCATCATGATATTTTGCCATACTGCCCCATTAACATTTCATAATTGTATTTGACAGAATGTACTGAAACAGATGGTATGAAAGATGCACAAATAATACCTGATTCAAGTATCACTTCACCTACATCACCTAGTGTTGACGTAACTCAAATTAGAGATGGTGGTGCATCTTTCCCTGCTGGACAGATCCCAGAAATTGTAATAAATCTGACACCAACATCTAACAGTGAAGTTGAAATTGGAAGTGTAACTGTTCCTGTAACAAATGTTGCTTCAATTACTGTTACACCAATTGCTTCTGATGATACTGAAAAGACTGGTGATAGCGTAACTGAAGTAAGTTTTAACATGTATCATTTATTATTTTATATAT